AATATAAGACACTGTCTTATTTTCGGGGAAACAGGGTAGTTCTAGTAAAGCATACCAGAATTAAATACCCACAAAATGCTGTCCTCCATTCTGTAAAAGTAATCTTCTTTTTAAAGAATATAAATGAAAAATATCAAATGGAAAATCAGATAGTAATAAAGACTTCCTGATTGATATTAATTTTCAAGGATTTTTAAAAGTGATACATTGAGATTATGAACAGTGTTTTTGTTTTCAGTACCAATAGGTTGACAATTTAACTGTGCAGATAACAAATGGTTAACAAAAAAAATTGTTATAGTTTTTCATTTCTCCACATTGTCAATAGTCATCAAAAATTCTGTATTAGTGTCACCCCAATAAATTCAGTAAAAAGAAAAAAGTAAAAAGAAAAAAATAAACTTCCGTCTCCAAGCATCACATATTATATGCAGCATATCATATACAATGGCAAATCAGTAGTTTAAAAAGATTTAATGTGTTTTCAGAAAATACAGACTATGCCTATACAGTAATGATAAAAGCGTAATATACTAGTAGTAATGTCTAAAGACTTTATCTGATTAATACTTCTGATGACAAAATTCATTATTAGCCATGGTTACTGCTTTTGGGGGCCTTTTTTTTTTCTTCCCTTTTTCTTATCACTCAAGTAATCCAAGAAAGCAATCAGTAGGAAGCACAGAAAGTTCCTGTCATTAAGTCACCTTTAGCACATTTAAAAAGCATATTAAAAATTAGCAGTCAGCTACTTCAGAGATGGAGTTATTCCTCACAACCCAGCGTCCTAGCTACTTGATAACTAGGGGGAAAGGAATAAAAGAGGCTCAACACGGATAATTTTACAAAGTACAGTAGTGTTTCATTTTGTTTCACTATTTATTCATCAGACATACATTTTTTCCCGAGTGGACCATGTGTACCTTTTTGCCTTTCCCTGCGCCCCAAAGGTGAAGATGAAGGTACCCATACAAAGAACACATACTTGGAGTTAGGTTTTGAGATCCTTTTGAAGGCTTGGAACCAAACTGTTTATAAAAGCTGATTATTTCCCACCCGTGTAAAGAATTACCTTGGAAATGCACGCATCCCATTCAAACTCATGCAAGGTGGGCCTTTACATCACATCAAATAACCCAAGCATGGGACCAAAAAGTTTCAAAAATTATTAACTTCGAGTGATACAAGATTGACATGGAGCAAAAAAATAGTGTAAACTATTTTTTTTATTAAAAAAATGCTTTCAAAGAGTGAGTCGGGACACCTCCGTGCTTGAAAAGTTTCCCAGGACTCGCCCCTAGGACTGTATCCGAGGCCCGCAGCTACAGTAACAGAGAACCCGTCAACTACATTGTAGCTCCTTAACCTGAGACAGTTACCGACGTCCTACAAATGGCTTTTTTTTTTGTTGCGATTCCGAACCGCACCGCTCCGCCCCGCCTTCCAGGGAAGGAACCTAGAAAGGTTGTAAAAGTTGTTGTCCTTTTTTGTGTTGTTTGTTTCCTGAGCAGGGCTTGGGCTGCCCCCCCCCCCCAAAAAAAAAAAAAAAAGATGAAATCGAGAAGCCGCACCGGATGTCAACAACTCGGGCTCGCCGTTCCCTCCGTCACCGCCGGCGCGGCCCCGCCCACGCGCGGCCCCGGGCCCAGGGGAGCCCGGCGGCGGGAGGGGACAGTTGCCCAACAGTTGGGTTCCCAGGCTGCCCGGTGTGACGCAGCGGCCCCGGCCCCGTGCCTCCCGACAAGGCATTCAGCCCCGGCCGAGGCCTGGGCGACCGGACCCCACGCTCGACCCCGGACCCTTCACTAATCCCGTGTGAGCCTTTCGCGGCTGCCCCCGAATCCCCCCCCAACAGAGTCTTCGGTACCCCGCCCCCCGCTTCCTCTTTCCTTCTCAAGTCTTTCAGCCTCGACATCCTTGGCGTCACGGTCCCGAATTCAGTCCATACCCGCCCGGAGCGAGCCTGCAGCTCCCACTTCCCGGAACTCAACGCCAGGCCGCTAAGGGGAGGGCGCCCAGGCAAAGATCAGCGGCCCATTCGGCCCCGGTCAGAGTCCGGCTGCCTCCGCGCAGCCGGCGTGCGCGCTCCCGCCCGCGCGCGTGCGCGCCCCCCCTCCCCGCACGCCGACCGGACTCTGGGACCAATCGCTTAGCTTCCTACGCCCTCCGACTCCGCGGCGTGGCTCCTCCCACCGCCCGCGCGCCAGTCGCAGGGCTCGACGTGCTCGCGCCCGCGCCGCCCGCCAGCTCGCCTCGCGCCGCGGATTGAGGAAGGGGAGCGAGCCGCGCGGAGCTGACGTCGCGCGGGGAGGCGGAGGCGCCGGCGACCTCGGTGGCAGGGGCAGCGGAGGCGGCTTAACGACCGAGACGGTTGCGCTCTCGCTCTCTCGGCGTCATGGCGGCTTCGGAGAGCCGATAAGCGGCGGGAACGGGAGCGCGCGCGTGGCCGCGGCAGCGGCGGCGGCGACGACGACGACGACGGCCGATTGACTTGTCGCTGCTCTCGCTGCCCTCGCCGTTGGTGCTTCAATAATGAATTGATTGTTGGATCCGCTCCGGAGGGGGATCGCGCATTGGTGCCGCCGCGGGTCGGGGCTTCCCCTTCCCCGCCGCGTCCTTCCCCTTTCCCCTCCTTTCCCCCGGACTCCCGCTTACCCCCGAGACGCCCGGAGCCTTGAGGACTCCCTCGGCTTGGAGAGACTGCGGGCCCGGGCTCGCGGGGGAGAGACAGCCGATCCGAGTCGTCTCCCTCCGCCCCGCGAAGCCTGCACGCCAGCCGGTAAGAAAGGGAGCGGCGGGCGGGTCAGGATGTGGCGGGGAGGACGGGAGCCCGCCGGGCGGAGGGCGGAGGCGGCGGCGGCCCAGCGGCCGGACGCCGGGCGAAGGCCGAGCAGCTCCCCGAGGGCCGGCGGCGGCGGCGGCGGGGGCCGGGGCCGAGCGGGGCTCGCAGGGGGCGTGTGAGCGGCGAGCGCAGGCCGGCGCCGCGGCGGAGCGCATCCTCGCGCCCGGCGGGCGGACCGGCAGCCGGGCGGCCGATCGCGGGCCTTCCCGGCTCGGGGTTGGCCTGGGGTTGGCGGGGCCGCGAGGGGAGAGCTGCGAGGCCCCGGCAGCCGCGAGCCTGGGGCCGGCGCGGCGATCCCACCGCGACCCGGGCTCCCTGCACGTGGGGAAGCGGGGGTGGGGGGGGGGGGGCGGCGGCCCGGGCGAGCCTGGGAGGGCGCGGGGCGGGTCTGCGGGAAGTTTGAGGCGGGAAGAGAGGCTCCGGGACGGTGATGGAGGCCTCGGGAGGCCTCGGGAGGCCCCGGGGGCGGAGGCGGGGCGGAGTGGGGTGGGTGCGTTCCGCTGGGAGGCCGGTAGCCTTGAAGCTGCGATGGAGGGAGAGGGAGGAGGAGGAAGGTTTTCTTGTAACGTCCTGTCGGGCACGGCTTCGAAAACTTAGCAGAAACGACCGTGAAAAGGCAGGGCGTGTAGAGAGAGGATTTGGAGAGGTTTCTTGACTTAGGGGAAGAGCCGTCGTTAAGATGCTGAAAAGGCTCGGGGAGAGCTGCGTGCGCTTGGAGCTTCGGAACTTGTGCGAAGGGTCTCAGCAAGAGAACTTGGAGAAGGGAGATGATGGGGAAAGTAAGTTACAGGGTACAAAGAAAGCCATTTTGAGGGGCGAAAGGAAGGTGAAAAGGAAAGAACGGAAAGAGGAGTGAACTTTCTCCGCGAAGAGGCACTTCTCGGGAGAGGCAGTTTGCTAGAGTATCTAGATTTTTAAGTAAGGCCACTTTCAGAGTAAAGCTCTTTGGCCGGCTGGAATGAATGTTTAACATCAGTAATAAGTGTTTCAAACATCAGTAAGAAGTGTTTCAGGATATAGTTACTTTTTGGATAACCAAGTTCTTGCAGAGTCTACTGGACTGTAGTCCCTGGCGAATTAAAATCCAGATCTAATGCAGAGTTTGCTATGATTGAATTGGCAACGGCCTGTCTCTTACCCCCACCCCCCCCTTTTTTTTTTGTGGAGTGGAAATCACAGGAGTGAATTCTCAGTTGCTGAGGTCGGAGGACAGCCCTGCTCAGTTGGCTGTCTCGGTACTTTCTGGCTGGGGAAGGATCTGACGTCTCCTTCCCCCGCTTCTTCCTCTCCCTCCCCTGCCAGAGATCTCCTTTGTTTATTCGTGGATGGCTTGTAGGTGAATCTCCAGTGTTGTGCTGGTGTCTTGAAAGGTGGAAATGCAGTGTCTTGGTCCATGATTTTTGCCCTAAATCCCTTATTACAAAATAAATAGTATATATTTTATTACTTTTTTTTTTTTTAAATAGAATCTCTGCAAGTCCAACCTGGCTAAATATTATCTATTTTTTTTTTAGTCCACTATCGGTTTGCTTATGAAATGACGGACATACTTGTTTGACCTATACATGTTAAGATTATATGACACCCTTTAATATCCTTTTATTCTGCTTTCATGTGAGCATTTGCAAAACTTTCCCTCACTTGAGTATATGAAGTTCTCTAGGCAATAGGTGTTAGTGCTCAATTAAAGGTAACCTTTCCCTCCTTAATTTGTTTGCCAAGTATTTAATAAGGTTCCATTTTCTATTCTTTGGGTGTATGTATATGTTATATACTACCACTGGGAAAAGTCTTATCACTCCACAAATATTTTAATTTCTTCTGTCAAAAGTAAGGAATGGTGTGCTAAATTCTAGTTAATAGTCAGGAATGTAGTTGATAGAACCCTAGATATTTTGAATAAAAGATCTCTATCCCTTACCACCTCTAATCTAAGTGGTTTAAATTTGTGTAAGTTCTAAATAGTCTTTTAAATTTTTTTTCTTCTAGTGAAATTTTCTTAATGTTTTTTTTAGGTGGATCAAAAAGGGTCCTAGGAAACCTGTGACTGTTGAAGAAAATTCATCTGTCAGTTTTTGATATTCAAGGAAGAGTATTTATATTCATCTTTTAAACTGGGAAGATTTATATTCCATTTTAAAACTTGTTGATATTTACAATGAATGGACATAGTGATGAAGAAAGTGTTAGAAACAGTAGTGGAGAATCAAGGTAAGCACTTATTATGAAGTATTTATGGGGAGAATTGAAAATTTTTGTGATTATTATTAGTTACCTAATAGGTGGCAGAGTTTTCAGATTCAGATTCTTCCCTTTAGCTATCCAAAGACTAAAAAGTGTCTAATATATGAAACTTGTTTGGTAATAAATTTTAATTATTTTTTCCCCATTGAGGTACACAAAGAAGAGTTCATAGAAAGTTTGTCTTAAATCTTTGGAGGTTTCTGTTGTTTGGGTTAATAATTAAAACAAGAGCAAGTAAAAGACATTTAAATTGATTTGACTGTTAATGCACTCTCCAAATAAAAGCATTTATTTATTTATTTTTTCTGTGCTATATTTTTCTGACATTTTGTTTTCTCTACTTGTGCTAATATATAGTTTCCACTAGCCATGTGTGGCTCTTTAAGTTAAACTTACAAAATAGTCAAAATTCAGTTACTCAGTCACACTAAACACATTTCCAATACTACTCACTCGTGGCTAGTGGCTACTATGATGGACAATACAGACAAAAACACATTTCTATCGCTGCAAAAAATTCTGGACATTACAGATCTGACATTTGTTAAAGTATTGCTGCAGTGCACCCTCTCCCCCCATTTTCTTTCACATTTGAGTTGTAATTATACAAATACATGAATGAGTTAAAGGTTCTTATTTGAGCCATGTATTTGCAAAGAAGATACCGTTTATGGAAATAAGCCATATAAAGCTATTTTAATTTGTAAGAAACCTTTTCTAATACAGAGTCTTTAATTTACCTATAGACCTCTGCACAACAATAATACAATCCATGTAGCTATTATATGTGAAAATCGGGAATATGGACGTTGTAGTCAGATTGCCTGATATCTTATCCCAGTTCTACGCATTAGCTGTGTGAGTTAGGGCAGATCTTTTAACTTCTGAGGAATTGATTTTTGCATTTATAAAATGGGTATTAAAGTACTATTTATGTTTTTTTTAAGTTGAAGGATTGAAATGCTACATGTAAAGGGCTTAACATGGTTCCTGATATACTGTGCGCTCCTTATGTGCTTATTATAATTTACATCATATTTTATGTAACACATAGGATACTACATAACTGAAACATTAACTATAGTGATGGACAAGAAACAAGAAAGGTTTGGCAGTTAGAATTTCAGTAAAAATGTTGGCTAGACAATGAAACAGTTTATGCCTTTTACTTGAGCCTTGAGATTTTCTGGTCTTGCTGGCTATTTAGTTTATCAGCTTTCATAGGCAGACTGGATAAGAAGAGATCATAGTGAAAAAGGGGCAGTTATGGAGAGCAGCATTATTTAGTTGGACAAATACTGGTCTAGAAGTTAATGAAACCAGAGTTGACACCATCTTTGCACTAATTAGCTCTCTGGATTTCTTAACTGTAAAATAAGAATTTAAGTATATGATTTTGAAATTCCATCTTACTACTTAATGTATATTAGTATAATAATGTTTTAGACAACAGTTTGATTAGAATCATCACTGTTGAGGCTAAATTATAAGATGAATCTCTACAGGTATACTGACTGTTGTAAGTGAATAGGAGAATCACATTGTCCATTTTTTCTTATTCATTAGTGAGCAATGAATGAGATGGTTAAGAGGCAGAAATATCTAGAGGGGACATAAGAACCAAATAGGAAATAAGACTCTTGAGAGCAAGAGATTATGCTTTGTTATATTCTGACCTGTTTCAGTAATCTTTTATGTATTTTGCTGCCATATCTGAAGCAAAGGGGTAACTACAGTAGTAAGTGAAATTTCATAGTATAGGTGAAAGAAATTAAACCCTGAAAAGTCAATTTATTTAAAGTAGTCTTTTATAATGCATACTCATTTTAAATAATTGCATATTCTCTAATTATTCTGAGTCATTATTTCACCCATACAGACTTTATATCCTCAGAAATGTTATACTTACAACTAACTGCCTTGGTGTTTATCAGGAGAACCTGCTTCTGTTTTACTTTCATTTTCTTCCTTATTGCTGCTGTGCTATCCTTTTTCTTTGCTCTTGCTGTCATAGTTACTAACTCTAAGGTTCTCCCCCATCCCCCTTTCCAGGCTTTCATAACAGGCCAGTCCAGAGAAGGGAGATTGTGTCTAGTTAAAATAGTGAGTTGAACTTCATAGATATAGGGATTGTCTTGCAAAACAAAAGTTTCATGAATATTAATATAAAGTAATGAGAGGAGAAATGCACTCTGCTTAAAAAATCTATATACATTGTAAATTTGCTTTTTATTGGCTAGAGTTTTTAAATGCATTTTTGCTTCAGATTATTTTTTTCCTTTGTGGAAGTTCCTGAAATGAAATAGAATTAAGAAAGGTCATTTGGCCGAAACCGGTTTGGCTCAATGGATAGAGTATCGGCTTGGGGACTGAGGGGTCCCGGGTTCGATTCTGGTCAAGGGCATGTACCTTGGTTGTGGGCATATCCCCAAGTGGGGGGTGTGCAGGAGGCAGCTGATTGATGACTCTCTCTCATTGATGTTTCTAACTCTCTCTCTCTCTCCCTTCCTCTCTGTAAAAAATCAATAAAATATATTTAAAAAAAAAAAAAGGTCATTTGACATTTTGGGCTAGTATATAATAAGCTTTCTACTAAAAATATTTTATTTTTATTTTTATTCTTTCCATGTAGAAAGCTATTTATTTACTGAAAGGAAAAGTATACGTAGGAAAATGTCTCTGGCTATGCTATAACTGTCAATTTTGAAACTTATTTACTAAGAAATGTGGGTCAGGATGCACCTGTACATCAGTTTCAACTCAGCACAAAGTCTACAATCTCATTGAAGTTAAGCTTTCTAAAGATACTATTGGAAGATTTCAAAACATTACTTTCTAGCTGTGTGAATTTATGTTGTTACATGCAACCAAGTTTTCTAATCCTAGTAAGATTTTTTTTTTCCAGTTATCTTAAATGATGATTTGTCAGAAATAGATTATTTATAGGTTAAGACCAGAATTACATAGTCACATTTACTAAATTTGGAATGATTGCTATACATGCTTAATCCTCAGAAGAACTCTACTTGCCTATAGATTAATTTTTTTGTTTTTTTGTAGATCACATTTTTAATGTAAATTTTCCATGTAAATTTGAGAATTTATTTGAATCACTGTAATTTATGCTCTTGAAAGTTCTTATAGAGTGACAGAACTTGTTGGTGATGTGTGATAATGTTTTTAATCATTTAGAATTAATCTATAGCTGGCATTTGAGCTTTGTTGGCCTGATTCTTAAAATTCTTTATTTTTTTCATTACTACTTTTTATAGTATTGACCATGTTTGTTTAATACATTTATATATGTGTTAAATACATGTGTGTAAATTTTACATTTTCTTAGAGGAACTCTGTTGCACTTATATTTCCTTGGCTTATAGAAAGAAAATATTTTAATTGTTTTATGCTTCAAGAATCTTTAGATCTCAACTTTTAAAGTGTTTTGGGTAGGTAGTGAGTAGGAAATAGGATGAATGGAAATGTTCTAACTGAAAATCTCCTTTACAGAAATTCAGTTTTTAAAATATTTTTTTAATGGTTATGAGAAGCCCTACAGTCTAAATGACCTGTTAAATTTAAGGAACACCAAGTCAGATTAAATTGAACACAGGTCACATTTTTCACCATCTAACTGTTTCAAACTTGGATATATTACATTTATTCTGCTATATACAGTTTTATGCTGAATACTATTGTGCTATATTGTTTTTGGCATCATTGCACTTATGTATACACTCACGAAGATTTCTTGCCCGTCTGATATGGTTCAATGGTTGAGTGTCGACCTATGAACCAGAAGGTCGGGGTTCAGTTCCTGGTAGGGCACAAGCCTGGGTTGTGCGGGCTTGATCTCCAGTAGGAGGTGTACAGGAGGTGGCTGATCAGTGGTTCTCTCTTATCATTGATACTTCTATCTCTCTTTCCCTTTCCTTTCCTCTCTCTGAAATTAATAAAGAAATATATTTTTTAAAAATAAAGATTTTTTGCTATCAGAACCTGTTTCTTTCACTAAATGAATTTGAATAATTTTTAAAGGCCATGCCAATTAAAATGGTGTTTCTTGAGCTTTGCAGTTATCTCAGAGTTTTTAAAAAAAGTTCATTCTTAAATTTCAAAAATTTGTACTAAGGAGCATTTTAAGGAAGATATGAAAATATGAAATTCCAAAGCCAGAATAGCTAGAAATCAGTGAGTTAAGGAAACGGTTCTTTATTTTTTTTTATTTTTTAATATATTTTATTGATTTTTTATAGAGAGGAAGGGAGAGGGATAGAGAGCAAGAAACATCGATGAGAGAGAAACACCGACCAGCTGCCTCCTGCAGACCCCCTACCGGGGATGTGCCCGCAACCAATGTGCATGCCCTTGACCTGAATCAAACCTGGGACCCTTGAGTCCGCAGACTGACACTCTATCCACTGAGCCAAACCGGTTTTGGCAAGGAAACTGTTCTTTAAAATTTCCTATGATGTCGTTAATTGCAGGAAAGTATGACTTTTGCATCTCATATTTTGTCAATTTCTCATTTCAGTATGTGCTTTCTGCATTTTTTCCTATTAATCCCCCCTCCCTCAAATTTACATGTATTGAATCTAAGATCATTTCTTAGGCTTTAAAAATTCAAACTGTTAAGTAGGAGCTTAAGTTACAAGTTACTCTCTCTCCAAGTAGGATTGATTACATCCAGAATTTCCTAGGATTGTAATTAGTCTAGATTACTGTAAATTATTCAGATTTATTGGTGATTTGCAAGGATAAGAGAATTATGTATGACTTGTCTCTCAAAGACATTACTTTTATCTACATAGGCATGAGATAATGTGGGGCAAACAATGTCTTTTTAATTGTTAAAGTTGCTTATTTAGGATCTCGATGACTGGTGGGTTACATGGGAACTTTGTAGTGAATAGATGATAAATAAATGGAGGAAACTTTTGTTTTATATTTTTGATGAAAAATTCATAAAC